CCTTAGACGTGTTCGCCTGCTCAGTACGGACCTTAGACGTGTTCGCCTGCTCAGTACGGACCTTAGATGTGTTCACCTGTTCAGTTAACGAGTAGCTTTTGTCATGTTATTGTTTGTTTCTTCAAACAGGAACATTAGGCATCTCTTCTAGTGCCTGCATTGAGGCTGCCTGCCTACCCCAGCAGGTAGTAATTAACAGCAGGTTATCTCCTTGGGAGGCTCTAGCTCTTTCTGGACCCAAACAAAAAGCAGGCTCTGGTTTGCTGCTCCAGAGCGTCTAAGGAGACACAGGCTGGTGCTGACATTCCATTCCCCGCAGGGATCGCGGATTCCGTCTCTGCTGTGCTTGTGTGATGTGTCGGATGGATCGAGACGCCAGTGAGAGGAGAGTTTTCGAGGGGCAGACGTGCACACGGCCCTCCGCTAAGCTTCACCTGGCTTCGAGGGGCAGACGTGCACATGGGCCCCCCCGCTGAGCCTTGCACCTTCCAGCTTTGGCAGTTCCACAGAGAGGTCTCGGCCCGGGCGTGTTTGCACTGAGGAGTGGGTGGTGCTCCTAGAGGGACAGTCGGGCCCACGGGAGGCTGCGGGACAGTCCCCTGCTCTGGGAGGGAGCGCAGGTCCTGCCAACCTGAGGATGCTGTGGTTTGCTTTTGTTTGCTTTATTTGGGGAGAAGTGGAAGTATTTGTTTATTTTTAATGAAGTATTTCAGACACGAACAAAAGATGATGTTTGTTTCTCTCGTGGGGTTATCTCGGGCCTTAGCGGAGCCCCGTGTAGACAGTGGTCAGCCATAGAGCGCGCCCTTGGGACGGACAGGATCGTGAGGACCTGAAGCACCAATGTCCTCCTGCCACACAGGAAGTCCCATCTAGAGCAGCGGTGAGGCAGCCATGACCGGAGACCTCAGGGGCGCTGCCCGGACATGGCGTCGATGGGCGGTTCCAGTCAGGAGGGCGCCATGGATTCCATCCTGTCTTCATGCTCTTCCTTTTAGAGACCCGAGCATCTCCCCACACCCTCCCACCTTCTTCCTGTTACCCTTGACTGAACTAACCCTGCATTTCCCGCGTGGTCTGGCTCCCCTGAAACAGCTCGCTCACGTCTCATGCCTCCGCCCTGTCAGCACACAGCTGTGCATCGCTGTGGGCACCATCCCCTGAGTCGCCTCAGCGGGAGGGCACCGTGGTAATGAGTGGCAGATCCAGCATGGAGGAGAGGATGGGGCGAGGGCAGGCCGAGGGTGCAGGGCGTGTCCGAGTTTGCCTTCACCCGCCCCGCCGCTCCCTGCAGAGTGCAGCCCTCAGTCTGGGTGTCGGCCACAGAGGAGCCCCAGGCTTGCTTCCCAGTCTTCCTGGCTGGTGGCTGCCGTCTAGCCCCTCCTCACGCCCGTCTGCTCTGGCTCCTGGGTCTCTGCGCCGGGGCCGTCCCCGTGGCTCCCCTCACTGCAGGAGTCCGCGCTGTCCCGCAGGGCTCCAGAGCCCAGTGTCCTGCTCCTGTCCTTGTACAGATGGGATGCTGTGTGTCCCGCCTGTGCAGTGGGGGATGGCCCTGCGTGGAGGTGTGTCCCAGCTGGATGTAAACACAGCCGTGCACGGGCTCAGTGCATGTAGGAAAGTCCTGCCGATGTGCACACACAAACATGTAAAGAACCCCTAAAGTCACGCCACATTTTCTTTTTTGAGAGGTTTTTGCTATAGGGCTCATGCAGTCACCAGAAAGACAGACAGACAGACAGAAAGTGAGAAATCACCCCCCCGGGGTGATGGCCACGCCGCAATCCCTTCTCCTCCATTCTCCTCTCGGGATCTTAGGCACGCACGCACACACGCCCGGTGTGAGTTTAAGCCACCGGGTCTAGGACTCAAACCACGGTCGACTACATGGGAGTCCAGCGATGGCCATTACACCAACTGCCGGTCTCCACACCACTTCTGATTAGAAAACATCGACAGAGTGAAGCTTCAAATGCAGCGGCCCTGCTCGGAAATTCACGGATGACCTGGCTTGCTCTCACCTCGGGCCTTTTCTGTCCTTCCCTTTACTAGAAAAAGGAAATCAAATCGAAATGTGGAATGTCTTTTCTTACACAGACCAGAAGAAGTCATAAAAGAGTATGTGCTGACGGTTTCGAGGTGTCTTGGGAAGGCTCTGTTGCCATTTTACGTGGTCAGTGATCTGATCGTCCAGCATGTGGGAAGGAGCTATGCCCTGGTGGAGTCCCTCTGTGTTAAGTCACTGACTCTAAAACAGGGATTTTTATACTTTTTCAAACACTAAAGGGTTTTTGAAATTCCAAAATGATTAATGCCTCATGGCTGGTCTAGATTTCGATGACATTTGTAATAAAGCAGCGTGTGTTTGACAGGGCTGTGTCCTGGGGCGTGGCCACGTGTCATCAGCACCTGGTGGACCGAGGACACATGGGCAGTGGTCTCTCCCAGGTCCATGTGCCCGGTCTCCCGTTTTCTCCAGACACTCCCACCTGGTGTCTCCAGAACTCCTATCATCCTCCCGCCTCCCGGCCCCAAAGCTCCACCCAGAGGCTCTGTCTGGGGTGACAGCGTCCACACCGGGCAACCGCCTGCTCAGTGAATCTGGAGCCGTCCTAGAGGCTGACCAGGTCCCCAGAATCACTGCCTTCTCCATGCTCTGCCCCTCCTCCATCACCGGGCAGCAGGCGGTCACTGAGCACCACGTGCCCTAACCCAGGATCCTCAACACAAACCCCAGACCAGACCCAGGTGCTTCCGAAGGACGGCCTAGCCTCGGCGTTGCCCTGGCGTTGTCACGGTTTGGTGCCTCCAAGCCACCCAGGCTCCCTGGCCTGAGAGGCATGCCCTCTGAGCACGCCAGGACCCTCTGCCCCCAGGGTAGCCGCTGTGCTGTCACAGTGACGCGGAGCTCCAGCCGTGACAGACGACTCAGTTTACCTGGCAAGGCAGGGGAGCAGTGAGCCCTTCCCACAGAGCTGGGTGCAGCAGGGTCCCCAGTGCATTCCTGTGGTCCAGGAGGGTCCAGGGCGAACTACACCAGCCCTCGCTCAGTGACGCCAGATGCCAGCTCAGAACTCATGTAGGGGAGCAACTGGCATCTAAAGTCGTTGTGGTGTTTACATTAAGAATTACAGCAGGCAGCATGGCGGTTAATGTGCTGGACTCCCACATGTTCGACCATGGTACGAGTCCCTGACCTGGTGGCTGGCTTACTTTCTCTTTTTCTGTTGAGCTCACATGCCCTATAGGAAAACTTTTAAAAATAATAATTAATAAAATTAGAAATTTAAATAATTTAAAATTTAGATAATTATTTAAAAATAGGAAAGAATTATAGATACATCCTTTGAAAAGCTTTCTGTACTATATTCCTGGTCACACCAAGGAGTAATGGATGTGAGGCCCCAATCCGACCACATGGCCCACTGCCAGTTGACAGGCCTTGGAGACCGGTCAGACCATGACCACCCCCTGCAGGCCATGAACAGTGCCCGCTGAGGTCCCACAGCATTTCCACCCTGGAACCTCGACTCACGTCCTCTTTCATGGGAGAGAGCAGAGGCTGCGAGTCCCCACCAAGGACTTCTCCACGTCAGGGCAGGCCCCACCATCCTGGCTGCGGGCGTCAGCACCAGGAAGGCACCTCTGCCCTTGGCTGGCCAGTGCTGGAAGCGGGGACCTGCCTGACAGAGGAGCCATCGACACCAGGACGAGGACCGCCAGCGCCAAGACGGGGGACACGCCGGCTCCAGGGAGAGCAGCAGACACGGGTACAGGCCCAGCTCCGCAAGCCCAGGAAGTGAGCAGGGGCCGTCCGACATGCCCCGGGCGAGCTTAGACAGACGTCTGCATTGAGTCCAGCAAACACGAGGTCTGAAGACAGCAAAGGGCTGATTTTTATTATCTTACATGTCTGAGTAAGCCTTTGTACACTGACATGTGACACATGCTACATGAAATATTTGTGATCACTGAAGTGTGCAGGCTGGCATGACACCAGCCGACAACCGCAGTCGGTGGCGGGATCGGAGGGGGCCCGCCACATGTTAGGTCTAAGCAGCTCCCACCTCGCCATACGTCCCAAGCAGCCGAGCATGGGAAGACAGATTACAGAACTGGGCTTCACCCCTGGGTGCCGGGCTTGTGTGCGTGTCCTACATGGGACGGGCCAAGGGACCCATGGCCGGACCGGACCGCCCACACCCCACACCCTGCCGGAGGTTCAGTCCGAGTCGTCACTGCTGAAGTAGGAGCTGTCGCAGAGCTCGGCTGTGTAGAGGAACTTGTGGATGACCGGGTTCATCTTGGGGATCCAGTGGCGGGGAACCAGGTACGTGGAGAGGTTGAATAAGTCCACGAACACCTTGTACCTGTCGCTGGGGAAGCACAGACAGGGCAGCCCTTGAGACTTGTTGGCTCAAACTACGGAAAATTTGCTACCAAATCATTTCTCGGGTAAAGATGCTTTCCAAAAGAGGGAACCAGCAGTTAGCGTAATGGCTATGTCGCTGGACTCCCACGTAGTCGACCGCGGTTTGCGTCCCGGACCCGGTGGCTTAAAATTCACTCCGGGCGCGTGTGCGTGCGTGCCCAAGATCCCGAGAGGAGAATGGAGGAGAAGGGATTGCGGCGTGACCATCCCCCCTGGGGGT